ATCCATTGACATTATTATTATTATTAACTCGATGTTATTTGAACAACATTAATGTTGTAATTAACACTAATTCATTAACTATTATATATATATTTGCTATTCCTAAATAAGCGGGTATCTTTCTTCATGGTAGCGATAGCCAGCTAGTTTCGATTATTGTGTAGTCAATAAAAACGTGAAAAGAGTTGGTTTGTAAGGGTTAGATTTGTTTTTACTAGTTTGACCACGGATTGATATCAGTTAAAGAGCCATTGAAAACCAGCACTGGAGTACTGGACAGCTGTTTCATCCTCCCTGGTTTTACAATGGTTCTCTAATTGATACCAATCCGTGGTCAAACTCGTAGAAAGTATGAAAGAGAGAATTTCAAGTGAACATAGAGAAGACAGAGACTAAGCTGTCTAACAACAACAACAACAGGTACCAATCACTATTAACTAACGGGAGAAATTTGAAGAAAATCACCCCCATTCACTTAGCTCATCATTTCAGCTAGAGTTGGCGAAGATGAGGATGCCAATGCCAGGCACTATGGGAAACGCAAAACAGGTATTCAGTTACTTGAAACTAGTTTCGGTGAACTCAGTATATGGAATAACATCTGGACCTTCAACATAAATGTCAAATCAACACTTCTGTATGTTTCATAGACTTGGAGCATGAGACACGAAAAGCATTTCCGATAGGCTACTACAGACTTTTATCAGCAGCCGCCTTCATTCTATACTCAAGCTCAGAAAGGTGGACAGAAAGGACAACACAACTGGGACCTCTAGGAACGAAATATCCAAAAATATATTACCCAACAAATATGCCGAAGAAAAGGGAGATGGATTGGACACATGCTGAAACTGTAGAATCAAATTTTTTTGATTATAGCTTGATAACACACAGTATTTTTGGCAGAAGTTTGGAATTTTCAGCATGTGATATCGGTAGCCCAAATTTTGCAGGCTGACCATAGATATCAGGTGTGCGTCGGCAGACAGTCGCCCAAGTAGAACCAGAATGGGAAACAACGAGTCAAGCGCTGATCCGAGGGTGACATGGAAGAGATCTTGTGTGCAGGAAATGGAAGCTTGTGATCGGTTGTGGGGCCAGTTCAGAAAGACCTCTTAAAGACAACTATTCATCCTAGTCAATCAATATTTCAATATATATTAATATGACTTATGGTCTTCCTGTACGAAGACTTATCAATAAACTCACTCAACTTTCACAAACTGAAGCAAGGTATGAAAATCATCGTATTTTCAACATTCGATGCCTAAAAAATGAAATCATTCCTAAATATCTACGTCTACAAGCTCCAGTTCCAACGGACAGAGTTAGAAGCAGAATAGATGGCCTGCGAAAATTATGCCTGAAAGAAGAGATCCACAGAATCGTTAAAAAGTTACAACATATCAGTTCTGAAATTGAGCAGTTAAAACAAAAGATAAAATGAATAGTTACCAATACAGATTATGATCTTATAACAGAGTCCTCCAGCAATGCGAAATCAGCAACTTTCAAAAAGTCAAAAAAATAGTCAAATCAAAAAGTTTAACAAATTATTAGAAGAGAAATCTTCATCTCAGAATGATGAAGTCAACAATCCAAAGTCGACGGCAATCGAAAAATCAAAGTGGGTTATCAATCTCTCAACACATATATTAAGTCCTACGGAAATAAGTGTATTAGAAAAGGGACTAAATTTCAATGTATCAGTAGACAAGCTGAAACCTGAGGATGTCATCCCTAAAATAGAAATAGCACTAAGTGGGATAGACAAAACTACCGCCGATGAACAATCACTATTTCGTCGTTTTATGCAAATATCCTTGTTTTATTCATTACTAATTATAATTACAAGAAGATCACTTATTGTGACCTGAGAGAATGGTAAAATTTCACCACAGACAGTGTAATTTGCAAATTGAGAATTTGATTTGCAAAACATTTCAGCCCAACAGGGGAAGTCAAAATTGTCTTATAAAGGAAACAACTTGAGTTTGTTGTGGAAATTACCCCAAAAATGTGAAGAAAAATCATACTGAATTAGTGAAAACAAGGCTGTTGGCGGACTGCTTAAAACTTGGGATACCGAAATTCCTCCACTAAATTACAGCATATCATTTCTCTTATTCAGTTTGTCTATATATTACCCTCTAATAGTGTAGTTTACTCTCGCGAGTTTCTCAAGTTCCTACTAAACATTTGAAAAAGCATTATCCCCAATGGCCGCTTTTCCCAGTAGATAAAATGACCGTTCCTCGGCGGTGTCCTTGGTTCACAAAATGTATTCCTGAACTTTTTATAATTCGCATTTAACAAAATGTTGTCATGTATTTCTCGAAGGAGACGAAACTGTGCCCCATGATCTACCGTCAGTTAATGTTATATTTAGACAGAATAGAGAAGATTTGCTGCTCAGGCGGATGATTTTGATGTAATTGTGTTCTCTTGAGAAGCCTTCATCGCCTTACTAGGCAACATTTACAGCGGTTACTTCAATTCGTTGAAGTGAGCCTTTAGATTTCTACATGAGTTTATTAGTCATTTCTCCTGGTAAATTTCAACGTCGTGATTGATTACTTTTGTCTGTTTTCACACCATCCATTCTACTTGTATTGGTATTGATTGTTTCCTTGACCTGAAGTTTCACACTTTGTGTATGAGATATCCTTTTTATCGATTGGTAAATTTTATCTATCTTTAAATCTTCCCATTGCTAAAATTAAAACAAAACATATAAATGAACGATATTGTTGTTTTCAATTAGATCTTCTTCAGGCTTCACTCTACATTTACATAGATTTAGATATAAAGATGTTAACCAATGATGGCGACTTTGTCGATCGAATAATAATAATATGTTGATTGCTTTGAACGTCATTAATAACGATGATTATAATGACGACAAAATAATGATGATAAGGTTTATGAAGGTGGCGACAAACATAACGAAGACAGTAAAATGTATGTGTGTATATGTAGACAATTCAATAAATAAACTAACCGAAACTGGTAGAAAGTTTTATATATTTTAAATCTATGTAAATTAGAGTAAAGCCTGAAGGTGATCTAATTGAAAACAACAATATTGTTCGCTTATATGTCTTGTTCTAATTTTATCTATATCGATGGGCCTATTAATTGGCCATTCACTGAAATATCAAGCTTCCCAAAATTCTCTGCCGTTCTTGGTGTTTCCTCTGTCTAATATTTGAAATTTGTCCCAGTAGAATTGATGTCCGTGGTTGTCTGTATGTAGTGGTATGAGGGAGTGAATGTCATCTTTTTTGACGGCTAGCTTATGTTCGTGGATACGAAGACGAAGAGGACGTCCACTTTGGTCAATGTAGTGTTTTTCACAGTTGTTACAGTTTATTTTGTAGATGACGTTGGTTTTATCTTCTTTCACAGCCAGCTGAATGAAGTGATTTTGTTGGTTTATGCGCAGCATCAGTTCGTAAAGCTTTGAAGAGCTTTGCGATGATTTCTGGGACGTCCTTTATATAGAGTAAGACGATTTCCTTTGTGTTTCCCTTGGAGGCCTTTTGATTTGGTAGGTTATCTTCGGGGTAGATGCCTTTCAATGAAGTTTCGCGGAAGACATCCATGAGATATATTTCTTCATTTTTCTATAAGGTAGGAGTTCTGTGATAAGTCCTGCCTCTCTTGAATACTGTTTGTATGCTACTCTTTTTGTGTGTTATTGCACTGTTGCTATTGTAATTGATCAGTCCGAATTGAAGAGTGCGCAAATATTTTGTCTATTAGGGCAACGAAAGCTTCACAAATAAACCAATGTTAGATTGTAGCGCAAAAAGGAAAGAAGATAGGAATTTAAACACTAGTATTAACAGGAAACCCACACACTTCAACAGATATTTAGACTTCCGATCATCCCATCCTATATCAGTGAAAATAGGATTGGTGAAATGTTTAAATAATGGAACACAAAAACTAAGAAGTACCAAGGAAAATCTACGACAGGGAGTGAGGCATATAAGAGAAGCTTTGCAAATTAATAATTACCCTAATAAATTAGTCAGAAAGTATGTAGGGAAATGTAAAAATAAAATAAATAATGATAGTAGTGATAGTGATAATAATAATAGTAATATTAATGAGGACATGCATGTCAAACATACTCAGGATAATGACAGCACCAACAATAAGGAATCTAAATTATTAGTAGTACTTCCATACAAAGAAGGAACCTCGGAAACCTCACGCAGAACTCCTAACAAGGTGGGAATAAAAGTGGCTCGCATTCAAACTCCCCACAAACTCAATAAGAAACAAGCTTTGTCGGTTAAAGGATGCTGTGGAGCCTTTAAAACAAAACAATTTAGTTTATCTAATACCCTACTTCAGTTATTGTCAGGTCAAATACGTAGGTCAAAGCAGTAGAAGAGGGTCAGTCAGTCAGACTACCGTGCAGAAAAACCCAGCAAAATCTAGATTAGTTGGCCCAAATAAGATAGGAAGTCTAGAGAATAGTTCAGCTTTAGCACACACTACATGCGATAACACAACCATACAATTGGTTGGATGGGATGAGACGACAGTTTTAAGATCTACTGTTACAGAGTGGAAGAAGAGATTGATAATGGAAGCTTTGTTTATCGAATCAACTGGGAAAACGTGTAATAGGAATGATTCAACACCCATCCCAGATATCTGGAGAATTCAACTACCCCGACGATGACAAATAGAAGAGAATAAACAAAACTATAAAACTCAATTTTCGAAGTCCTGTGATTATAATTGATATGATTATGAACAATAATAAATTTTGTTTGACACGTCATCCAGTAAATAATACTATTTCACTGACTGTGTGATACATCTAATAAACAAACTAATTTGGAAACCATCCAGCTCAGAGAACACAGTTGCATCAGAATGTTATATTTAAAGATCCTCGGCGAAGAGGAACTATCACGCAATAAACTCCGCTGAAAATTCTGCACATTATATAAAAAATTGTTCAGAATGAAGCTATTACTATTATTATTATTAATATTATTACTATTAAAACTGACAAAATTAAATTCATGATACTTTTAACATCAGAATTAATCGCCAGTCCAATCGCGAACATTTCTACCCAGCTTCCCGTACAACCGACTGACCAATGCAGCTAGAACACATTTAATCAGTTTAATTTGTGCAAGATTAGCTGAATTCTTTTCATTCAGTTTATTGATCAGTGCAAGGATTCGTTTCGAATTAAAAATTTGAAATAAATCACTGCAGTTCACCTCTTTCACTGACTGAATTAAATAAGGATATTGATCGGTTAACCAATCGATAATAAATAATGATCTGATAATCGTTGAAATCGATTCTTTCTCATCTAGATCATCAGTAGGATTAATACTTGCCAAAGAAGGAGTTGTCGTAGGAGAAGGTCGATTGAACAACACTTTTGAACATAATAAATTAAATCGTGTGCATGCATGAGCTATAAGACAGTCCAGCAAGTACATAATTGATTGTTTTGAGTCTATAAGCATACTGTGAATGATTTCTCGGATCCAGTCTTCATGAGAAGAGGGATCATCTCTCGGTGAGCTAATTGTCGATGTACTAAATCTCACTGATGCCGACGATGTATTGCAGATTAATTCACAAAGCAGACAATTTATTTGATAGTTTAAATTGTGTACAAAATCGCCAATTTCAGAATTCTTGTTTAAAATATTTCGTATTGTTGATGGTGAATTGGAAGTCGTGGCATCGATATAGTTTAACCAATCACTGGAACATTCAATATTGTCACCTATTAAATCCTTTGTAAAGTAAGTAGGCAAGCAAAAAAGAAAACTAGGCACGAATTGGTAATGAGAGAAAGAAACTTTGTTAAGAAAATATAATTTATTTTTCCATCGTTATTCTTTGAGAAAGGACTCTATAAAAATTTGTTTATTAAATATGGCACACACACACACAGTCAGTGAGACAGTACTGTTTGTTCAATATTGACGTTTCGAAAACAATTTGTTATTTTTCGTAATAATATCAATTATTAGAAGAAGACCTATAAGCGGACAGTATTGTTGTTTTCAATTAGATCTTCTTCAGGCTTCTCTCTAATTTACCTAGATTTATTGATATAAATTTTAACCAATGATGGTGACTTTGTCGATCAAATGATTATAATATGTTGATTGCTTCGAACGTCAGTAATAACGATGATTATCATGATAACAACAGTAATGACAATAAGGTTTATTCACGTGGTGATAGGAATAACGAAGGCAGTAATATGTATGTGTGTATATGCATGCATATATGCCAGTTTACGCTGTCCCTGGCGTAGACGTGATATCCGACTATCGACCAAAGGGCGTGTGCACTGCTCAACAGTCCTCTCCGTCCCCCTTTTTGGCTGTGAGACCTGGCCATTAAGAGCGGAAGACATGGAAAGATTAGCTGTCTTCGATCATAGGTGCCTGCGTTCTATCTCCTGCGTGAGTTATATTGAGGTCAGGCGTCGAGTGCTAGGTAAGGAGGGGAAATCAATCGACGAGGCTGTGAAATTACTTCGACTGAGATGGTTAGGACATGTATTACGTATGCCTAGTCATTGCTTTCCTCGACGGGCAATGTTAGCTGATATAGGGTCAGGCTGGAAAAGAGCTAGCGGTGGTCAAACGAAAACATGGCTTCATCAGTCAATGAAATCCACAACAGTCAGTCTAAGCCACGTAGGAAGGTGTAGAATTCCTGACTGGTTGGGGTCCTCGGGACGATAAAAACCAATGATTGGAAACAATTGGTGACATGGCTCAAAATCGTTCTCAATGGTTGGCGCAGATGCATCCACTCCTTGTGACTTATGATTTCCAATGAAACTGTTTTGTTCTTCGTTATTACTATACCTTTGTCTCACACCTCTGTTTACTGTCTCTATTATGCATTTCTTCTACTTTCTTCTCTTGCTTTGTGTGCTGCAAGGAGGGAGTGTGGCGACTTGAACTGCCGCACATATGTGCAAAGTTCTATGTCGAAAACAGACCGACCGACCGTGTTTATGTAGACAATTCAATAAATAAATAAATCAGGTCAAATCTTAAGAGTTACGTAATACTAAAGGTGAAGTGGACGGATAATCGGAGTTTAAATAAATATCATAAAAGTACGAAGGAGGTGGAAAATAAAATAGGGTGGGAGGGTTTTGAATAGAATTCACCTAGACTAAGCCAGGGAGAGACAAAGGTAGACTACGATTGTTCTCTCAAACTGATTCCCATAGCTTCAGCTATATGTAAAAGACGGGCTCGAAATCCATTCAAAGGGTTCCATGGAATGCACCATGAAGGAACATCTGTCCACTTGGTGACCAATATCACCAATCAAATGAGACAGAATAGAACTTCTTATATATTCTATTCGGCCTTCTCTGAACCATGAAGGAAGATGCTCAGTAATACGTTTGTTAAGCTGTCTAGTCGTTTGCCCTATACAGCCAGCTTTCTCCATCCGAGCAATTCTATTTGTAAATGCACATAGAAGTGGCACAACTTGGCAGATTATCTTTCGTTTCAACAATCATAATTTGTCGGTTGGAAAATGGCACACAGATTGTGGCAGAAGTATTTATGGCGAACAAATGATCAGCTCAACAAACGTATTAGCGAGCATCTTCTTTAATCTTTCGGAAAAGAGCAAGAAAATCTATTAGAAGTTGTATTTTGTCTCATCTGATTTATGATTTCGGTCACTAAATGGACGGAGGTTGTGCCTTCAAAGTCATCTATCGCATTCCATCGAGGCTTTCGAACCCGCCTTTTCCACATAGCCAAAGCTACATTCACATGACCTCCTCCAAGTCACCCACCCTCGCACTGACGACCAACTCGCCACTTCCCTTTCGGGTTCCCCTCGAGCAATGGCTTGTCTAGTGATGTCACTTGATGGTTTCCTCAGAGTATGACCAGCCAATCCATCTCCATTTCTTCCTGCATATTTGTTTCACAATCGGTTCCTGCTGAGTTGGTTCGCTCATTGCCAGAGATCCCTGTTGCTGATCTTTTCTGGCCGGCCATCTGATCTTGAGTATTGAGCGAAGACAACTGTTAATGAAGGTCTGTAGTCTGTTTGAGGTGCTCTTTATGACGCGCAGTGCAAGTCTCTGATCCGTGTAGTATCACTGACTTCACATTGGAGTTGAAAATCCGGATGTTATTTTTGATGCTGATTGCTGTTGACCTCCACACACACCTGAGAGTAGTGAAAGCTTGTCTTCCTTTTCCTATTCTTGCTTTGATATCCTCGTCAGTTCCGCCTGTAGTTAAAATGATGCTTCCAAGGTAGGTAAAAGAGGTTGTTTCTTTCAGGTTCCTTGCATTTATGCTGAGTGTTGTCTGTTGTTGTTGTTGCTGGTGGTGGTGTTGCCCAGGAATTTTCATCACTTCTTTTTTCTCTATGTTCACCTGAAGTAACGTCCTATCTTTGATGCTTCTTCTATCGCCAACTTGTTGCTTTTCGCTTGCATATCTTCTAGTTTGTGGGAAATCAGACATATATCATCGGCGAAGTCCAGATGCTGCAATTTTTTTGTTTGAGTCCATTTTATGCCTGTTTCCTCATTGCATGGCCCGCTGTTTGTCTCATTATCCAGTCTACTGCAATCAGGAAAATCATTGGCGATAGTAGGCAGCCAGCTTGTCTTACTCCTGTCCTCACTTCGAAGGACTCCGTAAGTTTCCCGTTGTGGATTACTTGGCATGCTGCATTGTCGTACAACTGTTGGGTGAGATGCATAATGTTCGGTAGCACCCCGTAGTAGCGAAGTAGTTTCCAAATCACCTCTCGATCAACGCTGTCACAGGCCTTTTCAAAGTCGATGAAGTTGAGTTAGGTAGAGAGGTGACTGCCATTCCAAGCTTTGTTCAATGATGATCCGTAGTGTGGCGATCTGATCAATGCATGACTTGTTTCTTCTGAATCCAGCCTGTTGCGGTCGACGTTTTCCATCCAGGGCTTGTTTGATTCTCTCCAGGATGATGCGGCTAACCACACAGTGTTATAGAGTAATATTAACTGATGACGTTTCGAGCACAAACTGCTGCTCATAATCATATCAATACACTACTCACACAAATGTTTTGCTTAATTTATGTACATGAGCATAATTGATTAGACATATGAATAAAATCAGTATAAGAAAAAGTGCACTCGGAAATAATGTTAGTGTAATAAGTAAAATGCAATAAGATGGGAAATAAATAACTTGTTAGAATGTTATAATGTGAATTGAAATAAATTTTAACATTATTTGTTATCCTCTGATTTGACTTGTAATGATATCCTCCATATCTCTGGTATTTGCATTAAGTCACTTCTATTGCATGTGTTGGGTGTAGACTCAATGAACCAGGATTCAAGTATCAATCTCTCTTTCCACCTACCTATATATAACTTTTTGGAATTTTGACTCTGTCCCACCACCCCATTGTGTGGTTGTATGTTTATGCATGCATTGAAACTGCTGAGCTTTTTTCTATATTATTTATCTTCGTGGGATCAATCATTCTACACTTAGCTAAATTCTTCTGTGCTAATAGTCTGACAACCGCTGATTTGCCGGTTCAACTTCTGTGGTTGGCTTCACAGTCATTGCAAGGTATTTTGTAAATTATATTATTTTGTCCAATTGGGTCAACAGGGTCCTTTAACCTACAGAACATATCCTATCTAAGTGAGTTTGTAGGTTTGAATGGTACCCTAATCCGTGCTACGTAGGGCCTCAGATGTCCCCTCTTTATATAGTATAATTGAAGATGCCCTATATTCTCTCTTATTTATGTTATCATTATTAGTTTCTTCATTATTTTCATTTTGCTTTTGACCTTTTTTTATATTCCTAATGAATTTTATAGGATAGTTATTTAACGCCAACGCCTCTTCTATCTGTTTCATTTCATCGTTTAGGTCTTTTTTGTGCTACTTAGTGCTATTGCTCGTTTTGTGAGACACTCAAATAAGCCAGCCTTTACAGACAATGGATGAGTCTAAATATCTGTTAACAGAATGCGTTGGCTTTTATAAACGCTAGTGTGCAGTTTACTTTCTATTAGTTTTATTTTACAATCTGAGATAATGGCTAATACTTCTTGTTCATTTGCCGATTCAAATGTTAATTTCATTCCCTTTTCTAGTGAGTTTATCTGTGTACAGAAATTAGACTGTGATATGTTCTGTATTTAACACTGTAAAACTGTCATCCATATATCTCCACCATATCATCTTTGGAGTAAGATCAAACATATTAAGAGCAATATTATCCCATCTGTCCATGAAGATATCTGCTATGATAAGGGATATTGGTGATCCCAGTGCTACACCATCTGTTTGTCTACTTATTTTTCCCTGGAATTTAAAGACAGTAGATGTGAGGCCTAACTTCATTCCTAATATAATTTTCTCAGTGGGCACTTTTGTCCTATGATTAATTTCAAGATCAGAAGTTAGTTCTCTATTAACCACTTCTAAGTCCATACTGATTGGTATATCAGTGTAAAGACTAGTTATATCAAAACTAGCCATCGTTTCATCATTCTCTAAGTGAACGTCACTTAGTTTCCTTTTCATTTCATATGAATTAGTTAGCCTGGATTTTGAATGATTTCTAATGTTATACCTTTGCCACTCCCTTGGCCTAAGTAAATTCTGATCCAGACTCTCCTACCCGTTTTCATTCTCCATTTCCTTCATACTTTTATCTGTCCACTCCACCTTTAGTATTACGCACCTTTTAAGATTTAACCTAACCGTTTATTTATTGGCTTGTCTACATATACACACACATAGTGCTACCTTCGTTATTCTCATCGCATAAACCCGCATAAACCTTATCATCATTATTTTTGCTATCATTACAATCATCGTTATTACTGACGTTCAAAGCATTCAAGACATTACTATTAATATTAATATTATTATTTGATCCACGAAATCACCGTCGTTGGTTAAATTTTTATGTACAAATCTGTGTAAATTCGAGTGAAGCCTGAAGAAGATCTAATTGAAAACAACAATATTGTTCGCTTATATGTTTTGTTCTAATATAAGTCTGTCTCTCTGGATTCAACGTAGAACTTGGCTCCAAAGTGCAGCAGTTCGAGTTGCCACGTTCCAAATAGCACACAAAGGTAGACAAGAAGATGAGTGAAGAGAATCAATAGAGTTTTGACAAGTATAAGAGTGAAACAGAATGAGTAATAGTAGAAAGGAATATGAAAGATTACACAAGAGACTGAATACATCTGCGTAAGCCATTGACAACGATTTTGAGCCATGTCACCTATTGTCTCCAGCCATTGATTCTTAGAGTCCCGAGGGCGGGCCCCAACCCGGAAGTCTGCATCTCCCTACCTGACTCAGTTTAACTGTCAAGGATTTCATGGATTGATTGATGCGATGTTTTTGTTTGGCCACCACTTACTCTTTTCTAACCTGCACCTATATCAGCTAGTAATGCCCGTCCGTCGGGGGAGGCGATGGTTAGGCACGCGCAGCACGTGACCTAGCCACCTCAATCTATGTAACTTTATAGCCTCTTCGGTTGATTTTCCCTCTTTGCCCAACACTCTACGCCTAACGTCAACATTACTTACCTTGTTATACCACCTAACGCGAGAAAGAGATCGTAAACATCTGTGGTCAAATACAGTCGACCTTTTCATGTCTTCAACTCGTATTGGCCATGTTTCAGAGCCATAGAGAAGGACGGAGCAAACTGCTGAGCAGTACACACGTCCCTTGGTTGATAGCCGGATGTTACGCCTATGCCAGAGACGGTGTAAGTTAGCGAAAGCAGCCCGAGCTTTTTGGATCCATGCTGTGATTTTGTCACCAATCAATTCGTTGGTGATGAGAATATTTAAATATTTAAAGTCACATATCAATTATATCTGAACAACTACGAAACTTACGTTTCCAAGTTCTACTTTTTTCTGTTCGTCGTAGGGATAGTAGAATTTTACAAATGTGGGGGGGGGGATTGCTGTGAAGTCATTCCTATCACACGTATTTGCAGCAGATTCTACAAACGAAGATTCTGCTCCCTCTACCCATTCATATATGATTGTGGAACTGTCAAACTATCCCATTCATCCTATTGTGTGGTTCTGTATAATTGCATGTAGTGTGTAGTGCCACAGCTAAATTATTCTCCAAATTTCTTATCTTACTGGGATCATTTAATCAACATTCCGCTACGTTTTGTTGGGAAGCGGAGCTTCCAGTGATAGATTGTAGAGAAAAAGGGAAAGAAGAAGAGAAGTTAGGCACACTAGTGTTTACAGGAAACCCACACATTCAAACCGCTATTTGGATTTCGGATCATCCCAACTTATGTCACTGAAAATATGACTGCTGAAATGTTTAAGTGATAGGGCACAGAAACCAAATAGTACCACGGGAAAGCTTAGACAGGAAGTGAGAAGCTTTAAAACTTCATAATTACCTTGATGAATTAATCAGAAATTATGTAGGAAAATGTAAAAATAAAATTAATAATGGTAGTAATAGTAATGATGATAATAACATGCATGATAAACATGAACAGAATGATGACAATATCAACAATAAGGAATTTAAATCATTGGTGGTACTTCCATAGAAATAATGAACCTCGGAAACCTTACGCAGAATTCTTGACATGGTAGGAATAAAAGTGGCTGGCATTTAAACTCCCCACAAACTCAATTAGTAACAGGCTTTGCCAATTCAAGGATCAATCCTGTGGAGCCAATTAAACAAAACAATTTAGTTTATCTAATACCCTGCCTGCAATGATTGTCAGGTAAAATACATAGGTCGAATTAGTAGAACAAGATCAGTCAGACAAGCGGAGTACAAAACATCTAACAAACTCTAGATTAGTTAACCTTAGTAAGATAAGAAATCTGAAGAATAGTTCAGCTATTGCACTATACACTACATGCAATTACACACAACCCTACAAGAGGATGGATGGGATAAGATGACAGTTCTAGAGTCATAAATGAATGGGTGGAGGGAGCAGGACTGATAACGGAAGTTTTATTTATCGAATTGACTGCAAATACATGTGATAGAAATAATTCAAAACTTGTCCACCCAAACATCACCTACGACGATGAACAAGAAACAATATAGAAGACTATTAAACGAAGGTTTCGTATTTTTGTAGTTATGATTGACCAACATAATTATGAACAACAATAAATTGTGTTGGAAACGTCAATATCGAGTAAATAATACCTTTTCACTGACAGTGTGTGGTATATCTAAAAAAACAAAAACAATATGGAATTACGTACTGCCACACTGCCCAAGTTTTACACATATATTTCAGTAAGGATATTACTATTTTTAATGTTGTTAGAAGCCTGATCAATAGAATCAATAAAAAAACCAACGGTTAGAAATCTGCATGTGACATCTTTTCTAATAGTAGTGTTTAAGTAGTCTCTTCTGTAGATCGATAAATCTAAGGTCAATAACAAACAATTTTCCCTGAATTATTGTTATTATTGTTAATAATATTATTACTCTAGGTTCAGAGCTATTTTTTCAGAAGATGTGATTAAAGACGAACCTCAATATACGCACGACAATGTAGTTAGAAATGGCTACCCTGAAAATTTTATCACCAACAAAATACATGGCCAAGAAATTAGAAGAGAATTCTTCTGTATCTCTTAACAATAAGTCTCTATGTATATACAAATACAATTTTTAGGTGATATACCAAATGAAATAATAATAATAATAACCAGCCAGCAGAGAAAATCGATCCAAAGAACGTTTAATATCGGCTAGCTGCAGCTTATACTTTCCATACAGCTAGTTGTTATTCGGCAACTGAAAGATTAAGTATTTAGGGTTAACCAGCCACTTCTAATTGTATCTGTCATTACATTGGTTGTTGTTTTAGAAACGTAATTTCTCGTGCTAGGGGACACTTACCAGTGTTGTAGCTGTAGAAAACGAATGACTAAGAAGTCATTCGTTATTGGATATCTCTATATGGCCAAATTATATACAGCAGGGGTTACCACAATTCGCTCAAATCAACCGGAACTCTGTGTGCAAATGAAGCACGTCCAGGCACTACTGCTAACTTGGCCTTCTGTCAATCCTATAAATTTATAAATTCTGTGTTACTTCCCTTAGTTTATCTGATATGCATTCAGTTTATTATTGTATTAATGCATTTGTTGATTTGAGGCAGCGTGTAAAAACACAAGGATATATACAAAGCTACACACCACAAACCAGACAGATTCCATCTTAATGATGCTCAAGTAAGTGGAGATGCAGCCTCTCTGCTGGACACAAATTTGAGAAGGGAAGCAGATGTGGGCTCAGACCATCATCTAGTTGAAGGAACCTTTAAGGTGAAGCTGAAATCCTTCAGAACAACTAGACAGGCTGCAATTCACGTCCAGTATTCAGCAACTGAAGGAGAAAGTTACAAGGGATGCCATCACTACAGATCAGATCAGACCAAAGTTGGAGAAACTACATGGCATCACTGAGGAAACCTGCGTGGAAGAACATTGGAACTAACTCTGTGAAGGTGGTCTTCAAGGAAACCTGTACAACTGTTCCAGGAAGAAAAAAGAGACACGAAAATGAATGGCTGTCAACGGACACGTACCTGGAAGCTTATTGACAATAATAAGATGATGAAAGAAAAGGTAACTCAACGCGAAGATAGACAATAGGAGAAGGAGAAGCTAAGTTTAATGTACGCAGCACTGAATAAAGAAGTGAAGAGTGTGGTGGCTCGCCACCACAGTGCACTGTAAATTGTTAATATATGAGGTAGTTGGAGACAGTCAGCAGAACGTCTTGCTTCACCTACATTTTGTGTTCACTTTGGAACTCGTCAGCAAGGGGTATCTGCAGCCTTGAAAGGACTCACGTCTGCTCTGAAATCGAACCCGCATCACCCACTGCAATCTTGACTGATAGAATTCACTTTCTACCAAACAAAGGACTGGTCACATTGAACTAGTTACTAGCTAGTGTCCAATCAGAAATACCCAATAAAGTCCCATAGGAGGTCAATCACGAGCCTAAATAACTCAGTGGTAACATCTCTGACTACTGCACTTGCTGACTTGGATTAGTATCTCAGAATGGAAATGACTTCCTTCAAGGATGTCGCAGATACACCCTGCTGACTGGTGAGTGCCAAAGGGAACATGAAACCCAGATCCGAGGCTTCCTGCTGATTGGCTTCAACCAGTTAATTTCAGCATTTCAAAATGGACAACAGGATGCTGAAGGCTTTCCACTAAGCAATTAACTTTCCACTCTTTAATCGATTACATCATACTACGAATTATAAACAGCAACTTACTAGTCTCTTCATTTCATATGCCCTAATCCATGCTTCCAATTCAATTTGATAACAGTTATGCTTCGTTGAACTCTGTGAATCATTTACATCCACACAGAAGGCATTGATTAAAAGTGGTATACTCGTTAAATGTTCAATAAGATGTAGAATAATCTTTTTCAATTTTCGCCTTGAAAGTATTTCATTGATTGTCAGTGAGATTTTATCCTTGACCTTTTCATCATTCGACTCTATATAAACTGGTAAAATGAATGATAGTAGAGAATTGATGGAGGTCAATAGACGTAGAACAAGTTTCATTTGTTGACGAATGGATGTTTGTGTTAGTGGTGTGGTCAAATTTCTTTGAAAACTGCCTTCTAGATCATCGACTATCTGAGTCATTGGATTTTCATTTGAGATTGGTTGTTCGGGTAAAGTAGAGGTGAACTGAAACAAGCATAGAAAATGTCAGTTAGCAAAAGTATATTTACACGGTGACAAATAAGTTATAATTAGAATGTTGAGAATATTGATTGCAGTAGATTGGATAATGCGACAAACAGTGGGCAATGACGAAACAGGCATAAAATGGACTCACACAAAAAACTTGGAGGATCTGGACCTCACCGATGATATATGTCTGATTTCCCACAAACTGGAAGATATGCAAGCGAAAAGCAACAAGTTGGCGATAGAAGAAGCATCAAAGATAGGACTTCAGGTGAACATAGAGAAAACAGAGGTGATGAAGATTCTTGGGCAACACCACCATCAGCAACAACAAAAACAGACAACACTCAGCATAAATGGGAGGAACCTGAAAGAAACTACCTCTTTTACCTACCTGGGAAGCATCGTTTCAACTACAGGCGAACGGAACTGACGAGGATATCAAATCAAGAATCGGAAAAGCAAGACAAGCTTTCACTACTCTAAAGTCTGTGTGGAGATCAACAACACTCACCATCAAAAATAAGATCCGGATTTTCAACTCCAATGTGAAGTCAGTCAGTGCTACTATACGGATCATAGACTTGCACTGCGCGTCATAAAGAGCATCTCAAACAAACTACAAACCTTCATTAACAGTTGTCTTCACTCAATACTCAAGATCAGATGGCCGGCCAGAAAAGATCAGCAACAGAGATCTCTGGGAGTAAACCAACCAGGAACCGATTGTGAAACAAATAGGCAGGAAGAAATGAGATGGATTGGCCATATTCTGAGGAAACCATCAAGTGACATCACTAGACAATCCATTGCTCGAGTGGAACCCGGCCGAAAGGGAAGCGGCGAGTTGGTCGTCAGTGCGAGGGTGAGTGACTTGGAGGAGGTCATGTGAAGAGGAGATGAAAACGTGTGGGCAGATATGGAGCCAGGTGAAGACTCTAGCAGAGAACAGAACGCAATGGAGATGCACGTCTGAAGCCCTATATTTCTCTAGGAATTAAAGGAAACAGTAATAATGATTGAGAAACCGAGTTAACTTTATGGTAGTGTCACAGTCTGGAGTATCAGGAAAATTCATAAGACTGTCTGAGTTTCAGATGCTCTTCCTTTAGTGATCTATTTGTTTATCTATAATTCTAGAGTTAAAAGAAATTCGCCGAGAAGTTGTGATCTAAAGGAACAAGAGGGTCAATAGCTCCATCAGTTTAAGTTGGTATAACTGCCCTATCAATGCACTCCAAAATTTCGTACACTTTGCTAGTCACTATTAAGCCTGGAGAAGAGGTGAAGTAGGGTCTGAGGCTAGCAATCCCATTCCCTGGAAATAACACCACCTTTAATGAAACTGTAAAGCCTGAAGTCCCATCTCCCCATCGCAGCACAAGAACTGAAAAGCAATATTCTGAACGAAATATATCCTTGAATAGACGTAAGAGCAATATTCTCCCGTCGATACTTGGACAATGTTCAAGGAAGCCTGAAGGGAATTTTGAATAGACCAGGTTCAGGAAGTAATCTGGGTCGGCGGCATTATTGGTCATGAATGTTACTTCTAAATGAAAATAGGTAATTTATTTATTTTGATACTTATCTCCACACTCTTTCATTAACATCCGACTTTTCCTTAGAGTTCTGATATAACGTTACCCTAGTCTAGATTTATGGAGTTGTGCATCAGTTTTACTGAAGAATGCCTGATTTTCAATGGTTTTCTAACTGATGTCGGCTCTTGATCTAACTAAAAACAATTAGTAGTGCTTGGGAATGAACTGAAAGAGATGCATTTTGTCCCAATCGGAACTTGACATTTTGGAACAATACGCGATACCGAACAATATCGTTTTCAGTTAGATCTTCACGCTTTACTGTAATTTACACATATTTATATATCAAGCAAAATTTAACCAATGACGGTGAGTTTGTGGATCAAATAATAATGATGTGTTAAATGTTTTGAATGTCAGTAATAACGGTGATTACAATGATTTGGTTGGCGGAATTCATCATGAGCTGACATTAGTTAGAGAACGATTAGAAAACCTGAGAGGACTGAACACCTGTTTTGTCTAGCTAGTTTGGGACTCTTCATGAGACGCACCCACCACCTGGGTTCGAACCCACGATCTTCTGGTTACAAGGCAAGCTCGTAGACCATTAAGCCACTGGGACCAGATCCAATGCTCAACGAATTCCAACTTCTGCCAATTCACAACATAGCGCGACCACTAGCCAATGTCTTCGGCGAGTATTTATACTCACACCCGACCTGCTGTACCCTTAATGGTCCACGAGCTCTCCTTGTAACCAGAAAGTCCAGGGTTAGAATTCAGGTGGTGGGTGCGTACTGATGAAGAGTCCCAAACTGGCCAGACGAAACAGCTGTCCAGTACTCCCAGTTGGTTTTCTAAAGCTTCTCTAACTGCTGTCAGCTCATGATGAAATCCTCCAACCAAATCAAACGAAAATCCCTATAAAACCAATACTTGAAGATTATAATGATAACAAAGATAATGATGATAAGCTTTATGAAGGTGGCGATACGAATAACGAAGGTGTCAGTAATATGTGTATGTTTATGTAGACAATTCATTAAATAAATAATTAGGTCAGATCTTAAAAGTTAGATAATACTAAAGACGAAGTGGAAAGATAGTCAGAGTTTGAATAAATATCACAAAAGTACAAAAGGAAATGGAAAATAAGAAAGGGTGGGAGGTTTTGTTAAATCAAACTTTACCTACACTAAGGGAGAGACTAGGGTAAAACAAACTTCTTTTGTATGCAAAGACTAGGATTGTTCTCTCGAATTGATTCCCATAGCTTCCGCTATATGTAAAAGGCGGGTTCGAATTCCGTTCGAAAGATTCGATGGAATGAGGTATATAACTTTGAAGGCACTTCTCCTGCCCACCAATCAAATGAGACGGAATAGAACTTCTTATAGATTTTATTTCGCTTTTCCGAATCATGAAGCAAGATGCTCAGTGATTATGCCTTTGTTGAACTGTCTAGTTGCTCGTCCGATGTATAGCCAGCTTCCTCAAAAGGAGCAACTGAATTTGTAAACTCACATAGAAGTAGCACAGCTATACAGCTTGTCTTTCGGTTGAGCAATCATAATTGGTCGGCTGGAAAATGACAAACAAAGGATGGCGGCAGTATAAGTCTGTTATATTGCTCTCGATAATTTTAGATTTTGGACTTCACTAGCCACGTCCCCAATAAATTGCAATTTTAGGAACAATTGTTTCTTTTTAACTGTTTTCAATCCCTCTTTATTATACGTAATGTTCATGTGTCTCCTTACAAATCTAATAAGATAACCCTATTTGGACCAGCGTATTTTGGATATATCCTAACTCGTTTTCATGACACTTTCATTGAAACCTGAAAATGTTAACCATGTTTGTAAATTCATGTAATTCACGTTCATATTTGGTAGCAGAAACTCCCTTGGGGACTGATCATGACAAAACTTCAGCCAAGTTATTCTCTAATGACATAAACCATCTCTAATGATGAAATGTGATCAAAACCAATTAGCCATATTATGTTTCATACAAAAATACACCATGCAAAAAGGTTTCAAATAACGCTTAAGACTCCGTCATTTAACTAAGAGATTTCATAGTTTTAAATGCAATTTCACTCACATGAACTACGCTGAAAATTATTTTTGCAGAACTATAACTAACTACCGCACTACAGACCACACACTTTCACATTCACATTAAATTATTTCTATATTCATTATAATTTTGAAATATGTTTAAACTATGTAACAGCATGTAATTAGTTAATGATATCTTGCTGTTACTATGGTTACTATGACCATAAATAAATGTTCACATGTATCTACATGATGATGACAACTAATGTCTTAAATTATCAGTTATCAAGACAAGAAAGTATTGATTAATGTGAATGAATGTCGAATGAAATATAAGCGCCTACGATAGATATAGTGGGAACCATAAAGACCACTATTCTTCATGTGAATAGGTTAGACTACATCATGCTGAACACCTCAGTCAGTATGTGTCTTTTCAAACTATTCGATTCGTACGGTAATAATAGTTTAGTTATAGCCTACACATTAATGCCTTCGATTAAAACAAGAGATGTACAATTAATTAACAGGTATGCCTCTCTCTTTTTGATATGTCACTCAGTGAAACAGTGTTATTTACTGGATGATGTTTAAGATCCCCCCGCTGTGTCGGTGAAAATAGCATTCATGAAATGTTTAATTAATAGGGCACAAATACCAAATAGTACGACGGGAAAGCTTATACAGGAAGTTAGGCATATAAGAAAACCTCTGAAACTTTGTAATTACCATGATAAATTAATCAGGAAGTATGTAGGAAAATGTAAAGCTGAAATTATTAATAATAATAATGGTAGTAATAGTAATAATATTAGTAACATGCATAGAATAATGACAGCATCAACCATAAGGAATTTAAATCATCAGTAGAAATTCCATACAAGGAAGGAACCTCGTAATCCTTGCGTAGATTTCTTAACGAGGCAGGAATAAAAGTGGTTGGCATTCAAACTCCCCACAAACTCAATTAGAAACAAGCTTTATTGGTTAAAGGATCCCTCCTGTGGAGCAAATTAAACAAAACAATTTAGTTTATCTAATATCCTACTGTGATGATTCTGACGTCAAATACGTAGGTCAAAGTAGTGGCACAGTGTCAGCCAGACCAGTGGAGCATGAAACATCGAACAGAATCTAGATTAGTTGACCTTAAAAAGGCAAGAAATATGGGGAATTGTTAAACTATACTTTTACACACTACATGCAATTACACAACCACAAAATAGGATATGTAGGATAAGATGACAGTTCTACATTCATATGTGAATAAGTGGAGGGAGCAGGACTGATAACGGAAGCTCTGTATGTCGAATCAACTTCAAATACGTGTGATAAGAATAATTCAACACCTATCCAACCGGACACCTTGAAAATCCTACTACCATTA